CAAAGGACCATCGAATCAGAATGGCTCATAATTTGATTGAGATAATTGATGTATGGCAAGATAAAAGAAGTCGATGCTTTACCTGGTTGTATTTTGCAAGACGTTCTGACCTGCATGGAGCTCCGGTCTTGATTTGTCCCTGGCAAAATATTCACCAACAAAACAGATTTATACATGAGAATTTACTAAGGAGAACCTACCTAAGACATTATACCACAATCTGAAAGAGGATTACCGTTGCCAACCCGACAGAGAGATCAGCAATGAAAGTGTCTTCAGTCTCTCCACTGCATACAATGACATACGTAAAATAAGTTCTATTCCCCAAAATATATCTTGCATCACACGCGTAAATTTCATACCTGCGGTGACTGGCCATCACACCCCAACCAGCCTTCTTGGACATTTTTACAGCTTCAATACTCTCAGTCACAGATCCAATTTGGTTTACCTGTTAGCCAGGGAGAATGTTGCGGCTACATTTTAACATATGCTAAGAGAAAAAGCAGAGCACTGGACACAACTACCATTTTGATACCTTGAGAAGAAGAGCATTACAAGTTTTCTCATTGATTGCCTTCCCAACTCTCTAAACACGTGAATTAGAAGAAGTTAGAAAATAGTAAATATAATGTGGATTGGGCAATAAACTATATCTCAGGAGCCACATAGGTTATGCATTTAGAAAATTATAAACCTTGGGATTGGTGACCAAGAGATCATCTCCCACAATCTGTACTTGAGCTCCAATTTCACCAGTTAGCTTGGCGTAGTGCTCCCAGTCATCTTGATCGAAGGGGTCTTCAATGGATACAATCGGATACTCAGAAACAAAGGACTTGTAGAGTTCTTTGAGCTGGTCACCTGAAATTTTTTGCGAGCCATCGTTGTTCTGCAGACATAGTAGAAGTATAAAATTTAACAGTTATAAAATATTCTCACATTATAACTCCCATGCTGTGCCCTACTGCTTTCTGATGACTTTTTATAATAAATATATCATAGAGAAGCAACAGATAGTGGGAACTTGCCTCTTCTTTGAAGTTTAAATCGTATGTCTTGTCTGATCCATAAAATTCTGATGCAGCAACATCCATTCCAATGACAACCTAAGCAGAAGGAAGATGCAAGCTTGTAAGTTTCTCTTTCACAAGGTCGTGATAGAACAATTACAAGGTGATGATAGAACAGTGAGGGAACCAATACATATGGGTAAAGGGAAGGAGAGATATAACTTACTTTTCCTGTATAACCTGCTTTGGCAATGGCTGTCTTGAGCAATTCAAGACCTTCTTTGTTCTCCTGAAATTGAACAAACATTGTACGGTGAATGATCTATTGAAGAAATTGAATGACAATAAAACCAGTAACACCAAAATACAATGTTCAACCTGAATGTTAGGAGCGAAGCCACCCTCATCACCAACATTGGTAGCATCTTGGCCATACTTCTTCTTAATAACAGCCTGAAGTCAATGAAGATAAATGGCTAATAATCAGAATTGAGAAGCAAAAGAAACACTCTGAACAATATACTTGTGGAATTTGAGAACATTTAATCTAACATCAGGCTGATCCTACAAATACTCCTTAGAATTCTTTTGGATAATGTAGTCATAAATGAAACTAAAAAAATCTAATTATAAATTATGATACTGAAATGAAATCAGCCAGGTAGATTTTGGAAGGAATTTCTACAAAGAAATGGTTAGCGCAACCATGCAAAGAAACAAAACTATTTGAGGACCTACTGACAATTTTAAACGTCTGCACAGTCCAATTATAGAGGATTAACTAAAATTGGAACATCGACACATGTAGACTTAAAAACAGGTTAACGCTAGGTTAGAATACTTATAGATATTTAAATTAATGACCAGGAAATAGAACAAATGGATAAAAAGGACAAAAAGACCCAGTAGTTGTAACCCGCCTTCAAATTATGATATACTTCCACACCCATCTTCATAGCCTCCTTAAATGAAGAAGCTCCAACAGGAAGAATCATAAATTCCTGCAACAAAAATTTTAAAAGGCTAAATTTTAGTAAAATATATTCAAACAAAATAAGTTCATCTTTTATGCTGGATGACTTGCCTGCATGGCCAATTTGTTTCCAGCATGTGATCCACCATTGATGACATTAAAAGCAGGAACTGGCAACACCAGCTTCTTGTTACCAGCTAGGTTCGCAATGTGCTGCACACAATAAAAGAAATTTATCAGGAAGAGATTTAATAGATGCCTGAGTCATGTGAAAGACCTTCTGACAGAATTGAATCAAAGAGATATATATATATCACCAGTAAGTTTTTGAGTAAAAAGTTAAGCGCAAAGCTCAATGAAGACAAAGGATCTCCGAATACCTTGTAAAGGGGAATATTTAGGACAGCAGCTCCAGCTTTGCACACAGCAAGTGAGACAGCCAATATGGCATTGGCACCTAGCTGAAACAGCCAAAGTTTTAAAGCTCGTTAATATATCAACAAGAATATACAAGGAAAAGTTTGTGTCAATAATCATTCATAACCAAAACACCTTTTGCTTGCACCAACCCCACTCATTCTGAGTTCCATCAAGTTGTTGAACCATGAAGTTATCAAGACCAGTTTGATCAGTTGGGTCCTGTAGAAGCAGAAACCATTCAATATCCATAAAACAAGAAGAAAAAATAACTGTACCCCTAAATAACTGAAAAGAGCTTCCTCTTGTGGTGACAAAAAACAATGGTATTTACAGTGCGAAGGTAAAAAAAAATAAAATAGAATCCATGAAATTTGATGAACAAACCTTGCCAATGAGAGCAGGACCAATGATGGAGTTGACATTGTTAACGGCCTATATAAGAATAAAAGCATAACGAATCAGCAAATTTCATCTCTTGGACTGAATCAACAAACAAAAAGTTAACCAGCCATTGCAAATACTAGCCTTAGCAACACCCTTTCCAAGGTAGTCTGAACCTCCATCCCTCAATTCGAGGGCTTCGTAAATTCCTATAAAGTATTATTATAAAAGTAAAATCAGTCTCATGGATATGAGTATTTACTGTTGCGGGGTCTCAGAAAGATAATTTTTTACTTACTTCTGCGATAAGAAAATATAGGGCACCAAATCTTATAACTGAATCTCAACCAAACATGACAGAAAATTAATTCAAAATATTTTGAATGATGAATTAATTGTCCCAAAACAAAAATAGATGATCTTATTGACCAATAAAATGAAACCGTCATAATTAATGCCCTTAAATTATTATAACTCCTAGTTCATATTATCACTTATCAGATTTTTTACCTCTAAACAACAATCCAGGAAAAAAATAATAATAATAACGACAAACTGCATGTGCCATGTTTTGCGGGAAACAGATCTTACCAGTGGAGGCGCCACTTGGAACAGCAGCTCTTGCCCAAGTTCCATTCTTTAGATGCACATCAACCTACAGATAATCAACTAACAATTATCACTCATGTACGATATATTTCCTACAATCCTGTAAAAAAATTTATATACAAACTTATGCAATCACATCATTTTCAAATAAAAAACCACTTTAATCTCATCGCCAATCAAACTCATAATAGAAACACAATTAAAAATACAAACTGGAAATTTAGTTTCCAAA